GGTGCACGTGACGCGCGGGGGCGGACGAGCCCCGCAGCCGCTCGCCCCCCGAGGCTGCCCGCTGCGCGCAGTGCTGGGCGGAGGCTTCCGTGGCGCCACCCAGAGGAGACTTTCCGGCCGGTGAGAGACCTTGAGGGCCCCTCCGGCACCTTCCCAGCAAGTGGAAGCACCCTCCTCCTCGGACACACACCTGTCCCCAGAGGATCCAGTCGATGCCCCTCCTGCCGCGCTTACCCGGGCACGAACGCATGGAGATTTGTTTCAGCAGTCGGTAGTCCAAAAATGCCACTTTCAAGTGCATAGTTTTCTTTCTCCATTTTGGAGTAACAGATACTGAGCACAAAATAGAAAGCTGCTATCTCTAGACTGAATTTCTTTTGACCCCAGCAGGAAAAATGGGTTGTGTCTGGTCCTTTGTTCCTTTAGGAACCAGTAGCTTATAGAAAGGGGCGGGGGCACCGCACAGTCAGGACTCTCCCCGCCTCTGGTGCCTCACCGCCTCAGTGGTCATTTTGTCTGCTGACCACGTTTGCGCTGCTTTTAGTTAATTGCCGCCTTAGCCTGCCTGGCTGTCCGGTAAGGAATCTTCACGTACACAAAGTTGCTTGGTGTCCTAACAGTAGCTGGTATTTCAGTGATCCTTGTGTTGTAGGCAAGAAAGCCACGGAAACTAATTAAGAAACCGATCCGAAAGCACAGAGCCAACAGGTGCTGGCGACCTGCGATAGGCTCCCAGCCTGCTAATTCCGAAAGCAAAGCCTCTTCAAGACAGGTTTTGCTGCATAAGGCCTTCGTGGGTTGTAGCTAGAAATGACACTGTGGCTCCCGGATTTTGACGTTCTCTTTCTGTTCGAGAAGACGTTCTTAATTACACGCTGCCTGATGGTAAACTACACTTTTCATTTGTTCCAACAACTGTTTTGCTATGCTCTCTGTAATGGCAGCATTTAGCCAGGTGCTTGGGATAACTGTAATTACAAGCCAGTAGCTCATCACCCAGCCATAGAACGAGGTTGGAATCCAATGTGGTGGGTGCAACAGCAAAGTCAAAGTACAGAGGCTTGCCCAGCACTGAGAAGTGCAATCAGGTGTGTGGAAGCGGGCTATGAAACCCCAGAGAGATAAGGTGTGGGGGTGAGAGTGGACTGAAAGACATTAAGGACTCCACAGTGTGTGTGTGTGTGTGTGTGTGTGTGTGTGTGTGTGTGTGTGTGTGTGTGACAGCACGGTATACTGGGAAAACTATGAGAGATGACCACAATGGAAGACAGTGACAGTGTTTTAGACTGTAAAGGTGTGTGTGGACCAGGTGCCCGTCATTATCAGGATCATAGCACTGTGTGCCAACTGTTCAAGCACTTTCTATACAATGGGGCTTCAGAAAGTTTGAAGACAGCGTCCATTATCTTTTAATTCCACTTTTTGGTATACTTTGTCAAGCCTGCTCACCCCATGTATTAAGTCCTACAATATACTTGGATGATGACCGCTATGACTGAATTCTCTCCACCAAATATGTGTTGTACATTCTAACCCTTAAACCTGTGGAAAGTCCTGATGGTATAGTGGTTGCATGCTCAGTTGCTAACTGAAAGGTCATCAGGTGAAAGCCACCAGGTGCTCCATAGGAGAAAGAGGTGGCAGTCTGCTTTCCCAGAGATTAGTGTCCTAGAAACCCAATAGGCCACCTTCCACTGTACCCTGTAGGGTCACTATGAATTAGGGTCAACTTAACAGTAATGAGTTTGGTTTGATTCTGCTTTAGTTAGTACTTGGCTGCTAACTGAATGAATAGTGGTTTGAACCTACTTTCTCTTTGCGGTAGAAAAACGTGGCCACTGCTGCTATAAAGATGTCACACTTGGAAACCTTGATAGGACAGGCAGACTCTGTCCCATCCAGTCACTGTCAGAATGTATTCCATAGCAATGAGGTTTGGCTATACCTGTGGATGTAATTAGATTCCGAAATAGGGTTTTGTCATGTCAAGCCATATCAGGGTGGGTTGTGTCTTAAAAAATACTCACTTTTGAGATATAAAAAGATAGAAGCACGCACACCAATTAAAACAAATGCTGAGTCTCCAGAAATTGAAAGAGATTTCCCCAGGAGAAGACAGAGAGCGCCTACAGCCAGTATTCTTCATTCGGAAGGGACTTGGCGGCTGTTTGCGTTGTTGTTTGAGCCTCCTCAAAAGGCGCATGGCAGTCCTCCTCAGTCAAAGCCGCTTGGATTGGAATCAACTCAGTGGTACAGGAACCCCTCACCTGTGAGAAAGTGATTTCTGTTCTCTAAAACCCCGCATACAGGTGAGTTCTCTTATAGCAGCACTCGGTCACTGAGAAACTCGGGAGCCTGACCTTTCCACGGCAGCTGACTATAAACTAATCAATGAAATTAAGCAGGAGAGAGTGTAGTGGGTAACATGTTGGGCAGTTAGAAATCACCAAGTGCTCTATGGGAAAACGATGTGGCTTTCGATTCCCCTGAAGATTTATAGTCTCGGAAACTCACAGGAGCAGTTCTACTCTATCCTATAGGGTCACTAGGAGCTGGAATAGACTTGATGGTAATTATTGTTTTGTTATAGAAAATAGACTGACGAGAGTAGGGGAGATGGATTAGATGAAAAGCAGCCTAATTAGAAGTGTTTGCCAAGGGCGAGAAGGAGCTGTTGAGGAATCAAGAGAGCTGCTGGACTGGGAAAGAAGAGGAATATAGATGTGTCGTGTAACATCCATATTGCTTGAGATTTGGGGTGGCTGCTTAGATTATGGAGAATAACTCATTATACAGACTAAGAAGCGATCCAGAGTGATGGAGGATGGCTTATTTTATTGCCGTCAGTGTGAGAGAGGATAGTGTGAATGTGATCTGTGGCCTCATCACTGAGCATCATGATTAATTCAACTTTTCTGACTGATTGGATGGTGTGCCTTCCCAAAGTTTCTAAATTGCTGGAAAAGAAAATTTTCTTAGGCGTGGAAAATTATTCTCTGAAGAAAGGTTTGAAAATCATACCTATAGAACCCTTAAGGTAATACTAATGAAAGGCATTTTGCATGTTAAATCCTCACAGTATATCTGTAACACAGTTCTTGTTATCATACTTAGCAAATGGAAACAGTGAAATTCAGAGGCTATGGATCTTGCCCAAGGTTAGACTCATCGAATAAGAATGTATCCTTGTGCCTTGTTTGAAATTTTTACCATGACTTTGTATTGATTTTTAAACAAAAAGAATATGTTGGAATATAAATGCCCAGGGGAGACTCCTCATGTTGAATATTGTCCCATCGTTGCTTTCCTTGCTGGTCAGAACAGGAGCTATTGGAGCAAAGACATTTCTGAGCTGAATGCAGGGAGCCTGCACTTGGATCCTTGAACTGTTTTTATTTTATTTCCTTCCAGGTTACATCTGCTTTTGTAGAGCATATTAAAAAATGGCAATGGCTCCAAAAACCTGGCTGGCAGATCAGAAGGAAAGAACAGTGCCAGGATTCAGCCATCCTGCCCATGGCGGCCAGCTCCTTCTGAAGATGTTAGAAGCAAGGCCTCAGATGGAGAATATGCTGACAATAACAGGCACATAGCTCCTCAGCACTAAGTTCTGATGGCCTAGTGGACACCCATTGGGCAGCCAACCTGAAGATCAGTAGGTGGAAATCACCAGCCGCTCTGCAGGCCAAAGATGAGGCTCCGACACGCATAGAGTCAGTCTTAGACCCACAGGAGCGGTCCTGTTCTCTCCTACAGGGTTGCTGTAAGTCAGAAACTTAGGCTGTTTCCAAGTCTTGGCGATTGTGAATTGTGCCGCAATAAACATTGGAGCACAGATGACTAGTTGTGCCTTATTTGTTGCTTCCACCGGGTCTATGCCCAGTAGAGGGATGACTGGGTCATAAGGTAGATCAATTTCCATTTTCTTTAAGTATCTCCAGATTGCTTTCCACAGTTGCTGTACAAATCTATATGACCACCAGCAGTGGAGGAGGGTTCCTACTTCACCACAGCCCCTCCAACACTTGTTGCTTTCTGATTTGTTGATTTTGGCTACTCTCAGGGGTGTTAGGTGGTATCTCATGGTTGTTTTGATTTGCATTTCTCTTATGGCTAATGACCTGGAACACTTTCTCATATGCTTATTGGCCATCTGGGTCTCCTCCCTAGTGAAAGTTCTTTTCAGTTCTTTTGCCCACTTTCTTAGGGGGTTAACTGTTTTCCTTTTTTTTGCAGGTCATGATGGTGTTGTAGATTTTAGTAATAAGCCCTTTGTCTGATGTGTCATTGCTAAAAATCCTCTCCCAGTCTGTGGGTTGTCTTGTCACCCTTTTGGTGAAGTTTTTCGAGGTGCACGGGTGCTTTATTTTTATTAAATCCCATTTGTCAATTTCCAGTTCACCTGCATGTGTACCCTTCCCTATTGCAGTGAGCCTATGAGTTCCCTGGGCCAGTCCTCTGAGGTTAGTCCCAATTCCCTCCTTGATGGTCCTGATGGTTTGGGGTTTAACTTCTATTTCTGTGATCCACTTTGAGCTTATTCTTGTGCATGGGGTGAAGTAAACATCTTGTTTCATCTTTCTACATGTGGATATCCATTGTTTCCAGCACCATTTGTTTAAAAGGGCATCCGCTTCCCACTTGATAGTTTGGGGACCCTTGTCAAAAGATTAGTTGTCTATATGCTGATGGTTTTATTCTTGGTCTTTCTATTCTTTTCCACTGGTCTGAGTGTCTGTCGTTGTGCCAGTACCCCGCTGTTTTGACCACTGTAACCGTGTAATAGGCATTAAAATCGGGTAAGGCGAGTCCTCCGTGTCCTTCTTGAGGAGTTCTCTGCTAATTCTGGGTTTCTTCCCTCTCCATATAAAATTGGTAGTCAGTTTTTCCAATTCTTTGAAGAAGGTTGATGGTATTTGAATTGGTATAGCATTGAAGTTGTAAACTACTTTAGGTAGGATTGTCATCTTTACTATGTTAAGCCTTCCAATCCACGAACAGGGGATGTTCTTCCATTTGTGAAGGTTGCTTTTGGTTTCCTGTAGTAGGGTCTTATAGTTTTCCTTGTATAAGTCTTTAGTAATTTTTGTTAAATATATTCCTAGGTATTTCAGTTTGTTCTTAGCTACTGTGAAGGGTACTTCCTTCTTAATTCCATCTTCCATGGTCCTGTCCGATGTGTATAGAAAACCTACTGATTTCTGTTTATTGATCTTGTATCCTGCCACTCTTCCATATTCCTCTATCACTGTAAGTACTCCAGCTGTGGAGCTTTTGGGGTTTTCAGTGTACAGGATCATGTCATCTGCAAATAGCT